TTTTTTGGAAAACTAACCCTTTTAAACTATCTGAAATATATTCATTCATCATACTTGTAACTTTTATGGCACCGAAATTTTCACTGAAATAATAACAGTCCTTTTCTTTTCTCTTGCGTGTCTCAAGTAATTGCTGATTTATAGTTTCGTTTGAGTCAGAATCAAATCCTTGCGTTTCACCAAGCCTCGAATATAATTGTTGTAGAATTTTGGTTGGGCTTTTAATTAATTTTTTAATATACTGCATATGGTTTTCATATTTGAATGCCGAAAAGTTATCTAGCTGCCCATACATTTTGGCGCAATCGGATAAATGTAAAATACAATGAACATTAAAGCTAACCAATTCCTCTCCATAAATAATAGCAAAATATGAAACAAAATCCTCCAAAATTTTTTGAGCCACATTAGCTTCTACCTTGCATGACTTTTCAGATAGTAGTAGTCGAATACCAGAACAGAGCAGTAAGAAATGATAATATAGGTCGTCGGGAATACAATCCTTTAGAATGAATACGCCACTACATAAGAGAATCTGCCTGAATTCGGTGGCTTTCCAGTTCCCTTGAGGTTCGCCCAAATTCTCCATCCAACGGAAATTGTGATACCATGCGAAGTCCTGCCAGTTCTAAAACGCTTTTATGTTTTTTAAAAGCATCACTATGATAACGTAAATCCAATCTCTGTTCAAAAGATGAATCTGACCTTAATTCTTTCAAACCTCTTTCAAAACAAACCCTCTTCAAGTATTTACCCTCCTGGCAACATTTAGGACAGCTATTCTTACCATTGTGGGATTGGACTCCACTGACGAAGGCACGAGCTGACAAATCGCAAGTAAATAACCAAACTTCCAAATTTTTTTCAGTTAGCTCCGAACCAAGCTTGATACCATTTTGCTTTACAAAAATTACCTCATGGCAAAAATCTTTTAAGAAGTCATCGATACAATCTGGCTAGGTCATTCCCGAATAGCAACCAATTGTAAATTCCACAATAAATTCTAAATATTTGAACTTTGGTTTTAATATAGCCACTCCCATTTCTAGAACATTCTTTGATTGAAAAAGTTGTGAAAAAATTTTGTTAACGAAGCGATAGTCTGCCGAAATCCGCAATAAAATCTGCGTTGTGCTAACTTTAGTCTTGCGATTACCACGCCCACTTCTAGGGGTTTGTCGCCTTAAAGAAAAATCTTGCCGCACAAATATTATACTTGGATAGGTATTCTATCGGAATCCGCAATAAAATTTAAATTCTTGCAAAAACTCGATGTATAACACCTCACTAAATATATCTCAATATAAATTTTTGAAAACAAATAACAAAAAATTGTTGATTCTCACAAAATAAACCATCTCGTCATAAAGAAAAATATTTAAAAAATAGTTCTTGAAAAACGCCTATATTTTTGAACCATTCTATTAACAGTTGAACTTTTGAAGTGGATTTGCATAGTGAAAACCCGTAAATTAGGGATTTAAAATTATACAGTCGTAATCCTTGTTTAATGCTCTGTAAAAAACGCGGCCCGAGTTAGAATACGTGAAGTTCAAAATCGTGGCAAGTGCCGATTTCAAAAATAGTAACTTTTTCGATTTTCAGGTAGGTTTTCGATAAGGTTCTAGAGTCTAGACGAATGATTATATATATTACATATATACAAGTCGATTGTATTTATACATATATGTGCAGGCACGACTATAGGGTGCTGGTGTTTCCCCCCAGGGCCGGATTTTTCCTTAAATTTAGTTGGAGGATAAATATTATAATATTATAATTATTATTATATTAAGTATTATAAAATATTATATTAAGTAGGTAAATTTGATTATTTAATATTCACATATCTTTTATGATATCCAATAAATGCGAAAGCGCATGTCATTTCCGTGCTAGTCAAAACAACTGCCAATCAGGCCTAATGTGAAACATAGAACGGTTCCGAAGTCAACACGTGTTGTCTAAATGTTGTGATCGTAATAATTTTCCCATGGTTCATGAAACTTTTTGAGCTCGAAATTGTAGAGTGGCCTTCAAAGAGATTCGAGGTTATTTGCAACAGGGGGAAATCAGAAATCAATAGAAGACGAGTTTCTGGAATACAGCCCATCTGAGCTTAAATGAACGCATTTGACTAAAACAATAAAAACTATTTTTCGCATTCACTTGATCTGTACAAACAGTATAGCAAAACATATTCTCCCTTTAGACGAAGTTATTATATTATACAAAAATGACATTCTCCACATACTACAAAAATATTTGGTATTTTTCAAAAGCACTGAAAAAGTTTGTAGTGATAGCGTTGGAAATCGTTTAAATATTAAAAAAAAAAATTTAGGCCCATGTTTAGTACCGGCCCCGGACGATAATACAAGTTTATATTATTAAATCAAAAAACTAACTAATAAAAATAGCTATAGAGTAATAAGAGTTTATAGTTAATTTTTTTTTAAACCAGATAAAAGTTGGCCGTTATAAGTGGACCAAAGTTGGCTATTGCAGTAGACGACTACGAAATTCCCCACAGGGTATATGTACATAAATATACTGTAACTTTATGGATTTTCAGCCGACATATTCGCATTGAAGAATAGTATAAATTAAACTTGATTTTTTAACATTATTGCTTTAAGTGTCATTAATGCATTAAAAATTGTAAGGACAATTAAAAATTAATTAATTGTTAATTGCTACCACTACAAATAACAATTGGCTAATTCAATCAACAAGATTTTAGTTGTTTTGTGAAAGTTATTAAAACCTAACAATTATAAATGCCTACACTATAGGCCTGGGATGTGGATATGATAGCCATCCACATCCCAGGCCTGTGCCGTATTTTTATTTTAATTTTAAGTAAATTAGTTATTATCAATAAAGTAATTGCAATTAAATTAGTTGCCGTGTGCAATTAACAGTTTAATTGCAATTCATTTAACTGCAGTACGAAATTAAAAGTTTAATTGCAATTACTTTTTTAATCAATTAACAAGACGATTAAAAAATGAATTGATTAACGCCCAACACTGTCTGCTAGTAATATATAAATATTAGTTTCCAGATATCTTTTTAAAACTGTGTATACTATAGATACATATGGACATAAATAAGTATGCATTATTTTTGTATACTTAAAGGCTTTTGAAACATCCGCTAATGGACTTTTTTCCGCACTTCTAATGCTGGCCATGCATCCTTCTGTACAGGAACGACTGTACGAAGAAATCTTAAACGTTTTCTCTGAAAAAGTGTTTTATATGGACTATGAACATGTTGCTAATATGCCGTATTTGGATATGGTTGTTAATGAGACCTTGCGCCTAATGCCACCGATACCAATAATTGGAAGACACGTTGTACAAAATACAACACTTAGTAACGGATTGGAGCTACCAAAGGGATTTTCGATTTTAATTTCAATTTTTGATGTACATCGTAGAACTGATCTTTGGGGTCCAAATGCACACAAATTCAACCCAGACAATTTTCTCCCAGGAAATTTAAAGGGAAAGCACCCGTACGCTTACATCCCTTTTTCGAAAGGAATTCGCAATTGTATCGGTAAGCAATTGTCCATTCATGATTATTACCTGTACATATGTATGCATATATATATACAAATGCGTTTTATTTTCAGGATGGAAATACGCTCTTATTGCAATTAAGGTACTCTTGACAGGATTTGTTCGGAATTTTTCGTTTTCCACTTCAACGAAATTGGAAGAATTGAAGTTTTCTAATAACATATCTCTTAAATATACCCATGAACCTAAGTTGGTTTTGAAACATCGTAAAATTTAATGAAACACATATGTATGTATATACTTAATTAACAGCACATATGTAGATATGTATGTACCTACGTGTGCTATATGTATATCTTCAAAAGTGACCCAAATCAAAATTACTCGTTTGTCAGAAAATGCGAAAAACTATTTCTTAATACTTGCCAATCATATGGGCAAGGGAGACTTTACCTTAGGGTTTTTCAACAAATTTTAACAAAAAATTGCTCTAGCTATTGTTGAAAGGTAAATAAAAGTTATGTGTACATTTTTAGCGCATAATTTCGAAAATGCCAAATTTTGAATTGTGTCACTTTTGAAGATCGTGCGGGATATGTACGGGCTGGCCCTAATCAACTAGGCGCACCGGACGAATCATGCGTGGTGCCCTTTCATACATACATACATATATGATATTTGATAATAAAACAAATTATTTTGAATTCTGTGCCATATTTTTATTGAACCAATACCATTAATAGGGTTCCATATACATGAAGAACAGTGTTGCTAAAAGTTTTTATATTGAAGTGAAATCACAATACATCTACAAAATTTATGTGTACACTGAGATATTTTTTTGATTTAAATGAAGCAAAAAGGTTCAAGTTTATTTTTATTTGACGATTAGTGAATGAAAATTGTTAACAATGTGAGTATTAACATATATGTGGAATAACACATTGCGTTAAGAAATGATAGCGAGTGGCTGAAAAGTTCCAAGATTTAGTGGGAGGAATCCTTGCATATATTTATATCATATTGCAAGCTCAAAGTTAACATTTTCCTTGGGACACTCCTCGCTTATAAAGGTCCCACTTTAAAGCGTTAATAATGATAGCACCATTGAAGCAATATGCAATACAATTTAATGAGGCTTTGGAGTTTCTCCAACCTTAGATTATAATGTAATTTTTTTTTTACGTGCGAAGTTTGCCGGGCGTTTGTTAATATTTTCCCTCAAAGTCGCTAAATTTCTATTTTTGCAATCCGACTTTATAAAAATGTCTGCAATTCCTATCAACTTTACGCGATGTGATGCTCCCAGTGATTTATATTAAATTTAGATTGGAAATCAATCATTTTCCATATCCCCTTTGAAATTTTCCAAAAAGTTTTGGTGGCAAGTTACAAAAATGGCGTTGGAAGTAATATTCCGTCATTCGTTTAATAATTACAAAGCACAACATACACTACGCTTTGCACCGCGTTTCCACACTTTAATGAACGCCATTTGTTTTTTTTTTTATATAAATTTCGTGCTCAATTTCAGAATATACGAATATTAAATCAATTTATAATATAAATTTTTTTCGGTGCTGACATATTTTTTATTGTTTTTTTTTCATTCAGAAACAAATCTGTAAATTTGTACATTTTACTGTGTAAATTTGTATACATATGTGCCTATACTTCAGGGCAAAACAAAAACAAATTGTGCTACAAGTGATTATGGAGTGAGCAGCTCTGATGTAAAAGTAAAAACTATTAAAACATAATTTTTCTTGGTTACGTTAAAGTACGTTTATAATCGTCGTTGAACATCCTGCGTACAATGAAACCACAATATTTAACAATGCCAATTGCATTGTAGAGTTCTAACTTATCATGTTGAGACAAAAATTCGATTGTGGCACATTCATAATTCTGGCTCACAACTGAAAGTATAAACGGAACAGTTACTACCAACGTGACATACTTTTATACGTAAACTACATATTTGCAAATACAAATAATTAGGGAGTTCAAAAAGTGTTGTACATATACTATCGTTTATTGCATATCGTAAACTTTAAACTGCTAAAACTGCATTTATTATGAAATTTCGAACCGTTAAAAATAGTTGGTTGTGATACAAGTCCGCTTACCATTTAGTTAGCAGTTAAACGCTTTACGACATACGATAATATGACACTTACGACAACTTGTGAACCACCTAAATGTGTAATACCGAGCTCACTGTTTATTCGACGGTGAACCATTCTTTTTCAAATTGCCTTATTATATAAAGAAAATAAAGAAAACTGAAAAAGAAAATAAAGCTATAAATGGCGACTTCTTTCGCTTATTTGCATATAATACCACTAATCAATACTAAGTTATATTACGTTCTCATTCAGCCATTAACTCGAGTTTAACGTTTTGAGTTTATGAACAACTGTCAAGCGTTCACATTGGGGTGTTTAAGAAACTCAGAGTTCAATTTGACATTTTTATACCCGAGCGCACTTGTGCACAAGGGTATATTAACTTTGTTCACATAACGGTTGTTTGTAACAGCCAAAACGAATCGAGATAGATATAGACAAATGTATATGTACATAAATGCTCAGAATGAATAGAGAAGTCGATTAAGGCATGTCTGTCTGTCCGTCCGTCCGTGTACAAGATAACTCGAGCAAAAATTGAGATATCTCAACGAAATTTGGTATGTAGGTTTCCATTTATCCAAGGTAGGTTGGTATTGAAAATGGGCGAAATCGGACTGTAACCACGCCAACTTTCCATATAACGGTAATTTTCAGAAATACGAAAACTGCGATATTTTAGTAACTACTGAAGATTATTCACTCAAAATTGATTTTAACAATAAATTTTAGACGAGAAATAATAATATTATAAATTTTTGGAAAATGGGCATAGCCACGCCCACTTATAGTTACATTTGTATATCTTGGTAACCGCCGCACCAATTTCTTCCAAGCTTGGCACAGTTGTTGGCCTTGGTACACCATATCACATGGCCAAACTATTTTTAAAATCGCTCAATAACCACGCCTACTTTACATATAACGGTAATTTTCAGAAATACGAAAACTGCGATATTTTAGTAACTACTGGAGATTATTAACTCAAAATTTATATTTACAATAATTCTTAGACGAAAAATAAGAATATTATAAATTTTTGGAAAATGGGCGTAGCCACGCCCACTTATGGTTACATGTGTATATCTTGGTAACCGCTGCTCCAATTTCTTCCAAACTTGGCACAGTTGTTGGCCTTCGCACACATACCAAATGGCCGAAAGTTTTTAAAATCGGACAATAACCACGCCCACGTCCCATATAAGGGTAATTTAGACAAATACAAAATCTTCGATAAATCAGTAAATATTAAAGTTAATTTATTCAAAATTTACGCTTGCAACAACTCTTTACCAAGAAATACGTTTATGATAAAATTTTGGAAAATGGGCGTGGCACCGCCCACTTATTATCACATATATGTATCTCGGTAACCGTTCTACCAATTTGTACCAAACTCGGTACCGTTATTGTGCTTGCCACATAAAAGCAAAGCGTTAAAAGTTATTGAAATCGGACTAAAATTACGGCGCTTTTCATATAACGGTAAATTTCAGAAATGCTTGAAACTTCAATATTTCGAAATTTAAGGACGCTAACTTGCTTAAAATTGATACACCCCGGCTTACCATGTATCGGTAGCTTTCGGAAAGGTGAAAAACATATATTTAATACTTGCGCCGGATATCTAATGTTGGGCTCCGCCCGAACTTAGACTTTCTTACTTGTTTTGTTTACTTTTTCTTAGTCTCATTTAGTCTGTTCCCGTACTACAGGATTTAACACACACACAAATAAGTCTAGAATACCAACCGTTTAGCTATAAAAAAAAAACAAGAAATGAGGATCGATAAAACTTTTTACGCGAATTTCAACCATACCAAAATTATTTGGTGCAAATAAAAACCAAAGCCAATAAAAGGGGTTAAAGTTCAACTGATCTATTTTTTTTTCTGTTTAATATCTCGGAAACTAATTAACCGATTAAAAAATTATTGATGATAATTTCAACATAATTTAAATACCTTTTATGCGACGTATATACTATAACCAGTTTTAAAACTAATTTTATATAAACGCCATTTAAAAAAAATTTATTTTGTTTTTTAGTATTTCCGGACTAAAAATATAAAAAAAGCATATAAATTATATACATACACGAAAGACAAATTAATTACCTTTATTTTGATGTCATTAGTTTTTTTAATAGGTTATGTTGTTCAGAAGATATTAATATTAAAAAGAAATAAGAAAATTTAACACACGCACAAAAAATTCTATCGAGACACATTTTTGGTTTTTGCATCGCGAGATTGTTGATATTCTAGACTTATGTGCACAGAACGACCTTGGACTAATTCTCATTAAATCCTGCAGTACGGGAACAGAGTAACTGTCGGAAAGTTGGTTTCAGTTAGGATTATCAAAGACACAAACCAAATAGGGTCAAAAAATGGGTTGCATTCGCATAAACTCCAAATAAAAGTGGCGTTTAAGGAGAGTTTAACGAAATTTGTTGTATGGTAAAATCCGAGTTTATGAAAAGAGTTACGCGTTAAACTCCAAAATGGCCCATAAACTCGAGTTAATGGTTCAATGAGAACGGTTTATTATTTGCAAATAAAAAATTAACTCAGCGTTTATGCGACAAAGGTTACCATTTTGCAAATTGTTATTTACGAATAATATGTGCGTATAAACGTAGTAACACATTCGTGGTTATGGCAGGATACTATTTGTAGAAAAGATGTAAACAGCTCATATTCATACTAATTTTTACGGATATTTATCGACATTTAAAATTTATATTTAGTTATACTTACAGTCTGCTACAGCACCACTATTAACCCGTCAATTCCCAGTGTTACCTGTCGATAACACCTCTTAAAAATTTTTTTTCAGCTTAAGGAAAACGATCTTTTCCATTTTACCAATGTTGACAACAAATTAACAAATCAATGGTAAGTACAAAATTTTCTTGTAATTGTAGTTGGAAGTCAGCTGTGAATCTTTTTTTTATCGCAAGCTTTTGTGTGATGTGTCTAAATGGTAAATAAAATTGGCAAAACAAGATATGGGATATATTACACTGTCCAACAGAATTCTGTTGAGTAAAATATTGTAGCCGATATTGGATTGGCAATAGTTTTTGACCAACTTAGGTTTAAAGGTGCCATAAAACGCGGTTTTGGCAATTTCTGAACCTTTG